TATATATATATATATATATCTTCGTACGTATTGTAATATATCGCGCATACTTGCCACATCGACATAAAGAATAGTAATGTCGAAGTTGACCACCGTTGTGTTGAAATGTTGCGTCGGTCGAGCGAACTTATCGTATTTTACAAACAGATCTTGCTTCAAACGATCAGTCCAAGTTTGATTCCACATGGGAGTCCCTGTAAATCACCGAGGGACAATGTCGGAAGCTATGATCTTCTTAATTACGTGAGATAGTATTCGCGAGATGATTTCGTAAATAAAATATCGCGATAATTAGTTATCGAGAAGTCATGTTAGCTTTAGTTTCGTTCGTTTATACTTTTTATGTTTTGTCTTCCTTCTTTTTTTTTCTCCAAAGATCTTGAGATTTGAACGGTAAATCTTAATGATTAATTGAGAACTGATTCTGTATTAACAAAAGCATCGAGACAAATCATCGTTCATTGCAACTATTTTTAATTTTTGTGATATTATATATTTTTATAACTTTTTGAATTAAAATTCTATGGGAATAAAATCTACTTAAAATTAATTTAAAAAATATCATATTGTTACTTACATATTTGTTCTCATCAAGCTTAATTCGCAAATCAAGCTCTTCTAAAACTTATATAACTTGGAAACTATTCAATCCACGTTATCGCTAACATAAGCAAAAACCAATTCCAAATTCATCAAAAAATCTGTCGTTAAAATAAAGATTGCGAAATTTTTGTAAGACACTTTGTGTGTGTATTTATTTAATCAGATCTCGTAAAGAGAATATCGCGATAATAAGTTATCGAGGAGTCGTGTTCGTTTTAGTTTCGTTCGTTTACACTTTTTATGTTTTGTCTTTCTTCTTTTTTTTTTCTCCAAAGATCTTGAGATTTGAACGGTAGATCTTAATAATTAATTGAGAACTGATTTTATATTAACGAAAGCATCGAGACAAATCATTGTTTATTGCAACTATTTTAAATTTGTATGTGATATTATATATGTTTATAACTTTTTGAATTAAAATTCAATGGAAATAAAATCTACTTAAAATTAATTTAAAAAATATTGTTGCTTACATATTTGTTCTCATCAAGCTTAATTCGCAAAACGAGCTTTTCTTTTGTAAAACTTATATAACTTGGAAACTATTCAACACATTACCGTTAACGTAAGCAAAATCCAATTTCGAATTCATCAAAAAATCTGCCGTTAAAATAAAAATTCCACAATTTGTAAGATACTTTGTGTGCGTATTTATTTAACTTTAACACAAAAAATGCAAGAAACTGCAGTTAAAACGATTAAATCTAATGTTATTGAAATATCTTGCTAATGTACAACATTGTTGGCTGCGAATGGTATTTTGAAATATTAAGGCTCATTCATTCACTTGATTCGCTTTGAATAACAGTACAAGTGGATAAATGACGACAATCAGCAACCGCGGATGATAAATATAAGGAAGTATATACGTACATAACAAGGAATACCTCGAGTATTCGTGTAAAATACATTTTGTCGGTACGTGATTTCAATAATTTCAGATTTCAACGCCATACGTATATACATGTTATTGTGATATATGTGCAAACTAATTGTAAGAAATGATATCCAACAAAACTAATATAAATAGTGTTAACTGTATTAACGATATGTATTAGTGACTTATTTATTAAGAAACGTCACGCACGGAATAATTATAGAAATTGTGATTGGAATGCTATAGCTTTTCTAATTATCTGAAGTATTACGGAAACAGATACAAACAGATCTGTTGCTATAGTTACTTTTCAAGAATTGAAGATATTAACATTGTTAATATAGAAGCGAACTATCTTTATGCAGCTACACTCTGTAATAGAAAGAATAAAACTTTATGACATGTAGGTACAGTGATATTTCTTGTCTAATTCCTTTTCATCTTATTTCTACAATAAATATATATACTTTGAACTAAAAAATCAGTGAGATTGGCTATAATGACTTACTTCCCAATGACGTCATATTATTAAATAAATTAATTAAATTAATGAGATACAACGTAAATTATGCGATTCTATATTTTTATTTTTGTCGTCACATTTTTGCAAAAATGTCGCACGATGCATAGTGTATCGCAAGGATCTCGAGTTTTTTGGGACGTTTCGCGCTATACTCGTTGATCCATTCACACTTACTTTCCGGTGTGCCGCTCGCATACAACACTACATTGTTGAATAAGATAAGCGTGATCGCCGAGTAGATGGTGGAAGAAAGCCGCATCGCGAGTTGAAGTGCGAACTGTCGTCGAATTGACACTGACTACGGTGAGAAGCGCGGTATCGTCGGTATCGCCACAGACAAGAGTGGCAAGAAGGGGCTATCATAGATTTAAGTAGTTAACAACCTGTTGAATAGACATTTCGTCGCCTACCGCTGATCAATGAAACGCAATGACTTTGACCTCTTTTACTCCACCGGAGATACTCCTATATTATTTATATAGACCGAACCCTTTCAATTGTACATGTAATTGCAACGATATCGTAACTATGTAGCCCTTATTTCGTTACACAACCACATGTTACATACAGATTACATATCCACCAGAGTTGGGCTTAAATTTAATATATATTGCATGTCCCAAATAGTCTACACAAATCTTTGTGTTAAATTAACATAATATGGATATGTTAAATGATAATACTATGTTAATATTTTATAAAATGAATGCAAACTTCACAGTAATTTGAAATAAATTTTGTATAAAATCAACATATTTTTAATGATTAAATTAACTTGGAACAATGTTATTGACGTAAATTCTGTAGTCACTCTCACTCCTATTGTAAAATAAAATCAACATTTTTTTCTGTAAATTTTAACAGATAAATACTGTCATTAATAATACAGAACATATCTATTGTGTAAAATTAAAAATATGTGCATATTATGTTATTTTTACACTTTTTTAGTTTTAATAATTTAACATTTAAGTTCGATTAACACAACAGCAGTATGTTAAATTAACACATAAATGTGTTAAATATTTAACATAAAAATTTTAACCGGCATATTTTTTAACAAGAAAACACAAACAGTGTTGAAACTTATGTTATATTATTTTCTGATTTTTCAAAATGGAAGATATTTCGCAATTATTGGATGGTTTCTTTGGCCAATCGAAATGATTTTTCGATTTATCGAAAATGTGGAGGAAGTTTGTTATTTTTTATACTTTTCTAATTTTTAATAATACGCGTCTCTTAATAATTGAAATTAAATAAAACGATCTATTCTAAAGTGCTGAAAAGTTTTATTATTCATTTTCTCTGTATTTTACAATCAATATTCGCAAAAAAATAGTTTTAATCATAATCATTATATGTAATTGTACAATACAAATGTTTTGATATTTCTCAAAAAAAAAGATTGATTCTGGATCAATTAAAAATTTTGTAGTAAAATCATATTTTAATAGAAAAACATTCAATATATGCTATTACGATATAAACCTGCTATTAAAATCCACGTTTTTTTAATTGCTTAATGCAAGCTTCTACAAATACTGTTTGCATTAGAAATGCTCACTGAACGTTTACTGTACATGACAGTATAAAACGATGAGATCGTATAAAACGATAATTTTAAAAGCAGAAATGTAATATCAAGGATGTAAACAAGGTTGTAAAGCAACCTTGTAATTATTCATGATCCTTAACGCTATTGCAAGAGGTTTAATTATCGTTTTATTCATTTTCTCGAGAAACTATCTCTTGCAAAAGAATGGAAGTTACTGTGGAAGAATGATCCTGATATTCTGTTGGATATCTGTATAATTTAGACATTATTGTTAATTACAATGCTACTATAGCACGCGCAGGAGGACTAATTTAACTTTGATAAGAAATCAAAAGTGCTCAAAGCGTGGCATAAATGTATACGAGTATACATGTATATTGTACTAAACAATATATTACATTTGCCGCTATAGTTTATTATTTATAGTGATAAATACTCGCAATAATTCTCGCGAACTCGTATTATGTAATTTAATTATGTATTATGCAAATGAATTTATAAAATAAAATTATACAAATGTTTGATTGTGTAAAGCGCGAGGTAAACGTAAGGGTGGAAATTTATTTAAGAGTTTAAAGTCGGATCTTCTCCTAATAACGAATCTAACACCTATCTCTTTTCTCAGAAATCCATGCTCGGATAGTTTCAAAGATAAATTGATTTAGTTTTAGATAGAAAGAAAACAATTGAAATTGAGCTTTCTTGACTTTAATGAACCTGTGTGGATTGTATTTTGAAATAAATTTAGATAGGAAATATTTTTTTACATGATCTTACGTTTACAACTTTACATTAAATTTAATGTAATATAAGATTTTAATATTATAGCAAAAAAGAGAGATGCAAAGGCGAACTATCCAACTGTAATATTTTGATAAATTGTTTCAACTGCTAAAACTTTAAATGTTTAACCATATATTAAAAGTTGAAACTCCATCAAATGCCTTTTACTACCTTTCAGATCTTTCGTCGATTTTCTCAAGAAAATCTCGGGCTTTAATTTTAAAATAATTGATAATTATAAAGTATATTTTCTCGCAAACGAAGGGATATGCGAAAATTGGTTAGATTTCTTTTTTCTTTATCTCAGCTTCATTTAATAATTATGTAACAAGATTTATGATGCTCTTGAAAAAATTATTTCTTAAGAGAAGTAGTTTGACGGTAAGACAAAATGAGATAAACGGAGTGTCGAAAACGCATATTTAATAAGACAAGTATTGTCAAAGAGACTTTTATTAATACGACGTACCTAGAGCGAGAAGTATATCTTGTTAAACCCTACAATAACGAGCATGAATTACGAACATTTATGCAACAGTTTGCTCGATGTCGCCAATAGGGAGATAATCATTGCGCTAATATTAAACTTGAATGCGAGTTTATGCAATAGAGCATAACGCGCCCGGATCTTTTCTTCTCATACAAATTATTTCTTCTTCATACAGGGTAATGCTTATATATTTTTCCTGTCTTTCGCATACACGCGTTGATTTCTAGTGGAAGGTGTTACTTTAATTGTAAAAAACTTTTTTAATAGCTTCTACTTCAAATTAATCTTTTTATATATCCAAAAAAAATTTCAAAAAGACAGTTCTTTAAAATTTTATTAAATTGATTATCTTTTCCTTAAATTATAAAAAGATTAATTTACATATTAAACAATTCCGTAATTTACTTTTGCTATAAAACCTTTATATAATTATATATATAATATAACAGGCAATATCATTGACAATATATCTCTCTTCCTTTGTTTCTTCATATAAAATTTTTAATTTATTTAAAGTTTCTTATTCGTATAATGCTCTTACTTTACTTTCTCATAGTAGTTTATTCATTTTACTTTTTAATTCATCTTTGCATTGAAAATAATGAAAAATGCGAGATACAAGTCATGAAAAGTCATACAAAGAAGAAAATACAGAGATGAATTTACATTGCAAAATTATCGTAAAGTATGGCTGCGTTTTGTATGTGCGTAGGCATTAAAAGTTAAAAGCTCCGGCTTTATACTTATATTTTTTGCCCCAACTTGGGGCTCAGCGCGAATATAGATGCAAGCTCGTGTGTAATGCATTTTACGTGTTTTTGGAATTATTTCAATTTTTCTCTAATATACAGATCGTTACTCAAAAGTTAAAGTCGACGTAAATCAAGCGCTCGCTTGATTAACCGCGCGCGCATAAGGTTTTTATGTCACAAGCAGTTTTACCTCTGACGTTGGGAAGATGCGAAAATATCCTTTTCCTCTTCTCTTCCCCTTGTGACATTCTCGCGTAAGAAAAAGATAAAATTCGGCAAGGTACTGAATTGAAGCAGACAGATTCTACCTGTTGCATTTTATTTTGCAATCATAAAACAAATCAAAGGGAAATGCACGCAAAAGATATAACTGTTGTGTTTCGGCACCTTCGTTATTTTTATGCAAAAATATGACGCGCAGAGAGAGAGAGAGAGAGAGAGAGAGAGAGAGAGAGAGAGAGAGAGAGAAAGAGAGAAAGATGAGATCAGCGTTGACATTGTCGCCGATAACAACGACGACGACAAGGATCCTCGCATCCGCCCCTATGATTATTATTTGCCGAGAGTCATAAATAATAAAGAAGATTACGTAGGTCGGTAGCCGGTGGTGAAGGTGTAATTGAATCAAAATAATGTAGAGGTATCGTGTTGTATGCTCCGGCCAATCATAATTCAGGTGAGACTATCTCCTCTCGTGCGACTCGCCGAGAAAACTAGCCGGGCAGGAAAGGGAACCAGCGAGGGAGGGGGGATGATACGCGCGCCGAGGGTGTCCCTATATAAAGGATGTCATCTCCAACCCCGGATACCCATTCCACCACCAACCACCACTAACACGCCGCAAACCACGCCGTCAGCTTATCCACCACCGCGTATACGCGTTCTCTCTTTCTCTCTCTCTGTTTTTCTCTTTCTTTCGGAATTTGCATTCTCCGATCGCCCTACGCACCGAGAAGCTGAAAAGCCGACAGTATGGTGAGTGCTTTATCGTTATCGTTATCGTGAGTGAGTGATTTACGGAGTTTTGCAGTGATACATGAATGTTTAGTGAATCCAGGCTTCAATGACAGTGAATTAATATCTGGACTATTGCCTTTGATTTTTGTCTGAATGATACAAAAATATTTGATTTCGAGCAATTCTAAATCTTTGTCCATTTAAGTAGTTGGTGATGCAAATCGAGATAAAGAATAATACTTGTCTTAATTCTTGTGGGTATCATATCTTCGATCATAAATATTTTATTTAATATTTTAATAATGTTTTATTTTTTTTACCTAGGTCATACATGTGTTTTTAAAAATTGATAATTTCAAGTTTCGGAAAATAAAATTTTTATTTTGCATCTAAAATATATATAAAAAAATAGAGAAAGAAGAAAAAAAAGAGAAATATTTTCAAGTTCTACTATTGCCATTAAACAATGACCAATTGTCATATAAATGTATCTAAGAAGAGCTCTTCTCTTTCTTCGAATTATTAGATTAATTAAAACATTTGTTATACTTTTTTATTAATGTGTGTTTTTTAAATAAAGAGTTATATAATAAGTTAAAAAAAAAAAATTTTGTAGAAATTTCTCTCATTTTATATAAATAAAAATTTTATCAAACTTAATGCCCTCTGATTGTGTTTCAAATAATAAAAGCTGTTTTAAGTAAAATTGTGTTATTGTATAATATTATTTTCAATTTCATTCGATAAGATTTCTTGCACCATACAATTTAAAATGAGTGCTTTTTGAAAAGTTCTACTAGTGAGTACATCTTCGTGATAAATGCGTTGTTGCTTTTCCATATGATTTTACTTTCGCGATATTAAGACATACTTTTCTATTTCTTTAATTAATTTCAGTTTTCATTTAACCACGTTGCCACAAACCCATATTTTCTCAATGTTAAAGCGACATAGTGAAGCTTATACGTTCTATTACTGTAAAGTTTCCGTAAAATGTACGTGACGTTACTTACTTTGTTCAATCTCTTTCGTTTAAATTTATCGCAACTCATTCTCATTTATTTTGTTACATAACTCGGAATTTAGCAATATTAACTCATTTGCTGAAAAATTTTGGCAACAAACGTTAACCATTATATTCCATTACGAAGGTGGCAAGATAAAAGAATATCTCTATTCCATTTCTGAAGAATAACATTGAAGAAGACGTAAACAGTTGTGACGAGGGTTCATATACATTTTTTCATGGTATTATTTAATTCAGTTTCTTTTGAAGCATGCAGTCCATATACTTTCTAAATTTCGAGAAAAGTAGAAGATAATATAATATCTGAAAAACATATAAGTTGCATTTTTGGATATTAATGTTTGAAATATAATATACATATATAAAACATTCCTTCACTATCGAATCAATACTTAATGGTAATTAATTCTTTTCTCACGTAATATAAAGCATCATTTACTGCCACTTTTCACAATTTTTGACATTAACTATTGTTATAACTCAATCTCAAATTATATAGTCTTTGTTAAAATTTATCTAACTTGTAACATGTCTAATTTTTTTATGTTTTATATTTATAATTTCTTATAAATATTGTAGTATAC